TATATATATATATATTATTAAAATTACAATGGGATTACATTTAAAATTAAGAATAGTGCATTGTTATACATTCTAACAAAAAAAATTGAAATTTTATTTTTTAACCACTATTTTTAAAACATGTATGAACACATAAAGTGTATCGTCAATGATAGTTGATAACATAATAGTTTTCATAATCTCTCTCCGCATAAGGTAAGAAAGAAAGAAGTATGAATGCAATGAATCAATGTCTTTCTGTTCTCACTGTCCAACTTTGTTTTCATTCCTCTTTTTCTTCTTCTGCTTATAATTTGATTCTATTTATTGACCATTTTGTACTTTTTGGTGAGCTATAACTGTGACTAACTTTGTCAATTTATTGGCTTTGTGAGCTCTAAGAAGTTTCTTTGTGAATTATCATAGTTTCTTTGTGAATTATCATACCTTTTTATATTTGTAGATGTGCTATATGCAAGCCTAGACATAATATGACATACAATATAAATAAGATATGATATCCTTTCTTATATTTATTGATGTCTATATAAGCAAATCCATTTACGTGTTTTTACTATCTTGTTAATTATGGATTTAAATGATCATTTTGGTAGTAGCTATGCCTACTCCATATCTATCCTTAGCTAGTGTCTATCATTTGTTTCTTTGTTCCACATAAATGTTGATATATAAAATTTATTTTTGGTAATTGATGTTTAATTCTCTCAATATTATTGACTATAACTTATTGATATTTTAACTTTTTAAACACAGAATATTCAATGAATGTGCACATCCGGACGAAAGTAGACGTCGCCAAATTAGTGAAGAGCTCGGGCTTGATGCTAAACAAGTAAAATTTTGGTTTCAAAATAAGAAGACACAATTGAAGGTAACATGTTTTTCACGATACTTTATTTTTAAGGGAAATTATCTTACATGCTTTGCTAAATAATAAATCTGACCACTATATACATTATTTTCGTGCAATTTTCAGACTTTAAATGAGCGATTAGACAACCATGTTCTTCGACTTGACAATGCAAGGTTGCAATCAGAAAACCACAGAATGAGTGAGACTTTGAAGAATTTACTTTGCGTACCTTGTGGGGGTCAAGTCATGGGAGTAGAAGAGCGTGAACTTTCTTTGCAAATCTTAAGAGCCCAAAATTTTCTATTAAATACAGAGGCTAGTAAACTATCTTATTTAATTGATTCTCTTATGATGTGAATATCACACACACATCAATGATTAATTAATCTTTAGTTGACATTCATTCATGAATTGTTTTTCAGTATGAGAAAAGAACCACACTTCTGGTAAACAATGGGATAAATCCAAGGTTGCTTCCTCCCTTTCCTTCTTCACATGATACCTCACAAGGAAGTTTGCAAAACCAAATGCCTGGTATTCCTGTTCAAAATCAGTTCATTCCTAGTCAAGATCATCATATTCATGCTCAAAATCAGCTCGTTCCTCCTCATGACCATCATATTCATGCTTGTGATCAACATACTCCTACTCTTAATCAACTCATTCCTAGTCAGAGTTTGCTCATCCATACTCATGATCAACATATTCCTATTACTAATCAGCTTATTCTTTGTCAACATATTCCTATTCTTACTCATGCCCTTAAGATATTTGTGCTCTTGCAGGTGCATCTCATCAGTATACTCCTGTTGTTACTACTCCGGCCATTGATCAAAATATTCCAGCTCATCATCCAGATATTCATCATTTGACTTCTTCTTCTGATTATAATATTCCAGGTTTGAGTACTACTCTTGCTCAGAATATTCCCACACTGATTTCTACTTGTAAACAAAATAATAACATTCCTGTTGTTGAGCAAGAAATTCAAGAGCCTAATCATGGTATAATTAATATTCTTTCTCTTACCTTGGATCAAGATATGCCACCTTTGGGTCGAGATATTCCTGCCATAAATCAGTATAATATGCCCCATCTTGATTTGGATGCAATTGTTGAAATTCGGAACAACGATATGTTGATGAGGCAAAGTACAAATACGGAAGATGCACTTATGTTGCAGATTGCAAATAATGCAATGGAAGAATTAATGAAGCTTCTGAGCATGAATGAGCCCTTTTGGTTCAGATCTCTACATGACGGAAAATTCATTCTTCAGCATGAGAGTTACCAAAAGACATTTCCTTGGAGTGATTGCTTGAGAGCAGGACCTCATTCACGTATAGAGTCATCAAAAGATTTACGAGTAGTGAGCATGAGTGGGACACAACTGGTTGAAATGTTTTTAAATTCGGTTAGCTCTTCTAATTAACTTTTCTTATTCTGCCAAAAATTTCATTCGTTATCTAAGTTTTTGAAATATATACTCATAAAGTGTATGATATATATACACTCTAATCTTTGTAGGACAAATGGGTTGATCTATTCCCAACAATTGTTAAAAAAGCCCAAACAATCCAAGTATTCGAAAGCGGGTTGTTAGGAAATCGAAATGGAGCTTTGCAGTTGGTATGTTTTCTTAAACCTTGAATTGTCTTTATTTTTGCTAAAATCTCTTTGGATTGTGTGATAAGTGAAGACTCTGTCTGTGTACAGATGAATGCAGAAATGCACATTCTTTCACATTTGGTTCCAACTCGGGAATTCCTCTTCCTTCGTTATTGTAAACAAATTGAAGCAGGTGTATGGGTGATAGGGGATGTGTCACTTGATTCCTCAAAATATAAAACCAGTGTTTCTCAAGCTTGGAGGCTTCCCTCTGGATGCCTCATTCAAGAAATGACTCAGGGATTGTGCCGGGTAAGTCACTAAATTACATTAACTTTGATTTTTACATTTTTCTTTTCTCTTTTATCCTTTTAACATCCATTTTTCTTTATTTTTCCCAATCAAATATTTGATCTCCATAAATAGCTATCATGTGGGGATGGGATTCATCTATGGTTGTCCTTAGATGCTAAGTATTACTTATTAATGTTCCCATTTTCTCTTTTCCTTATATCCATTTCACGTGTTATGATGATGGACCAAGTGTGAGGGAATGATATTTTGAATTACATTTATGAAATAGAATAACTAGACAAAGACATATGTTTACTTATATATGCTCAAAATGGATAAGTAAATGTCATATTTATATATTTATTGATGTTCATAAATGACTTATTTATGACCTATATGTACTATGGAGATCCATCTAATAAGTAGTTTACTAGGAATTAATATGTCTCTCATTCAACATATTATTATATTTTTTAGAATTAAGTGCCTTTTTACAAATATCTTGAGAGAAATTGTGAAAAAAAAATAGTTTTCAAAAGAAACTAAGTTTTGTTTCCATTCATTGCCCTATTGTTTGGGCAGTATTTTTTGAACCTCGATCACACATTTCCTTTGAACCCTCTTAGAGCATGCTATAGTTAAAACCGAGTTTTATTGATATTACATTTTTGATAGGTTTCTTGGGTGGAGCATGTGAATGTGGATGACAATATCCAAACTCACGAGATTTTCAAAGATATTATTCACAATAATGCATATGGAGCAGAAAGATGGGTTTCAACACTTGAAAGAATGTGCGAGAGATTCGCATGCGCCTCGGTTGAAACTATACCTAGTTATGAGGCTGGAGGAGGTTGGTCAATCTTTGTTATCTTTGCTTCAAACCCTGTTGCTCATTAGTCATTTAATTTGTGATCTATTACTTTTTGTTCATATCTAACTAAGTGTATTCTATTATTTTTCTCAGTGATTAGATCACTAGAAGGAAGGAAGAGTATAATTAAGCTGGCTCATCGTATGGTTAAGACTTTCTGTGGGAATTTGGACATGCAAGGTGACACAAACTTCCCACATTTAACCAAGATGAATGATGATGGCATTAGGCTATCTGTTCACGTGAATAACACAAAGCCAAATGCACCAAAAGGCATGATTCTCGGTGCTGCTACCACCTTTAGGCTTCCTTTCTCTCCACAAAATGTTTTTGATTACTTGATAGATAACAAGGAACGACCTAAGGTTCAAAGCCCTAAACTTATACATACCATATATCCTATTTACAGTAAAATCAATCTTGTATTGCAAAATCATTAACACTTTCTTCTTTTTTTTCCTTCTAGTGGGATGTTCTATGTTGTGGAAATGAAGGCTGCGAGATTCAACGCATCTCAACTGGAATTAATCCTGGAAATTATATTTCAATAATGCAGGTACGTACTTGTTATTTTCTTTTTTACTTCCATATATGTTTCAATGCTATATTCAGAATTAAATTAGTATAAATTTCAATTAGTTTATATTACACACGCGCACACACAAATCATTCCAACATGTGTTTCACTATCATTTTTACTCTCGCTAAAAGTATCACCCGCTAAAAAAATTTTAACACGTGTTTCACTGTCATTTTTGCTCTTGCTAAAGATAATACTCCAAAATACATAGGTTAAGTTAAATTCAAGTAATGTTTTTATGAGTCAATAAAAGATATATATATATATATATATATATATATATAAGAAAATTACTAAATATATATTCATTTTTTTTTCTCTCATTCTCTTTGTATCTTTCGTTTGTTTTTCCATCAGATTAACTATCACGCATGTCATTTTCTCTCTTTACTTTTTATTTCTTCTTCCACACCATTTTCTTCATAGCTTTCTTTTCAATTCTTAACTTTGTTTTACAAAACCTTTATATGAGTATTAATTCCTTTCGATTGTTTATACGTGGTGTAGTCTTTCATCCCAAGAGAAAACAATATAATGATTCTCCAAGAAAGTTATGTAGATGCTTTGGGATCTATGTTGGTATATGCTCCTTTTGATACGGAGATAATGAGTCTGGCCATGAAAGGAGAAAAAACATCAGGAATGC